GTGTAGAGCTGGGTGAACATAGCGGGCCAAGCAGCATCAGAGGAGCAGGAAGGCTGATGTTTCGGGCCTAGACCCTTCTTCAGAAGGAGGGTCTAGGCCCGAAACGTCAGCCTTCCTGCTCCTCTGATGCTGCTGGGCCTGCTGTGTTCATCCAGCTCTACACCTTGTTATCCCTGGTACGCAAGTAATCCCGGTTTGTAGCTTCATCAGGTTTTGATTGTGAGCAAGGTTTTCCCAGTCATTCGCTCATCAGGAATCGTCAACAGGGTTTTGTCAATGGAAGATGAAGCCCTATTAATTAGTTTGGATTCATTGAGGAAGAGACAAGGAGATTGAAGAGGGTAATGCAGAGGATGTTGTCTACAGGACTTTCGGAAGGCATTTGACTAGGTCCCACATGACAGACTGGTCAAAAAAGTAAAGACACATTGGACACAGGCGAATGTGATGAAATGGGTGCAATCTTGGCCCGGTAACAGGAAACAAAGTGCAATTGTTGATGGCTGCATTTGCGAATGGATAGCTACACAGAAAGTGTTTCACAGGGTCGGTTTTAGGTTTCAAGGAGAGTTTTAGAGTGTCTTTAAAGTGTTTTTATTATCTTCCCTGGAAGTAAAAATGCTTGTATCCTCAAACAGTTTGTGAGAGTGAGAGAATGTGTGGTCTTTTCCCATATAGTTTCATGCAACACTTTGGGCTTTTGCTCAAGACAGAAGGGGGAGAAGGCAAAGTCAACAGCTGTTTGGAATTAGAGAGGAAGCATTAGCTTAGAGAAAGAATTGATTTCGTATTAAGAAACAAGACTGAGGCATGGTGGTATTGTCAGGCAGAAGACAGAATGCACTGTCGCTCCTCAAGGATTTTTTTTCATCTCTCTAATATTTAGTAGAGTTCAGAGCAGCTTATGAAGTTTGTGCTTGTAGTTTACAATTATTGATCATAAAATCTAGAGGACCACTGATGTGATGTTGATTTATGTTCATAAAATTGAGGAAACATATAAATTTCTAGATGGAATGCCAAAATAGATTTGAGCAGGTAATTGAGAAGTGGAACTGACAGGGTGATGTCTGAAAACAGCGTTTGCAGGAAAAGGCAGAACAATGTTTTGAGGGGCTGACACTACATACATAGAACATAGAACATAGAACAGTACAGCACAGTACAGGCCCTTCGGCCCATGATGTTGTGCCGAACTTTTACCCTAAACCTAAGGTCTATCTAACCTCCACCACTACCTTATACTATCATCCATATACCTATCTAGTAGCTGCTTAAATGCCCCTAATGAGGCCGACTCCACTACCCTCTCCACGCCCCTTCAACATCAATGCAGTGAAAGATTAGTTCCAAACAAACTGCGACAAATTCCAGGTTTTGAGATTGAGAATGAAACACCAAGCTCACTGATTCTGAGCTGAAAATGAACTTTCTTGCAAGTTTGAAATCTATTTACTGCAAGAAATTATCTAACTAACGTGTGCAATTGTATTACACTGGGCAAATGATGTTGATGTCATACACATTACAATACTTATTTCCTGTTCAAGGGCACGGGGAATGAGTTATTTATCAATAATTTCCACTTCTTTTATTCTTTTCTACACTGTTCAGTTAATTTACTGATGATTGTGATCCCTTCCCAAGGAAGGTGTTAGCATGTCGTTTCAATCAGTCCCTACCTGGTAGCCATAGCAACCGCAGATCTCATGGTTACAATCATTGAGGTCATATTGTGTTAGACCAGTCGTTATTGCTTCCACATTTCCTTCCTCAAGATGACACCTGTCTGTAGTAGTATTACTGTCCAAAGTTAGAAATCTACAAATAATCTAGTTTGGTAAAACACAAGTATTTTCATCCTCGATCACATTGTTGCCATTTGTTGTGAGAAGCTGAAAAGAAAATATTCTACTGAGAAGACTGGTGGTGATTGCAAGAACCATTCTACATTTTTACCTAAAAACCCTGCTTTCTGACTTTACCTTACAACATGATAAGATCATTGACAATGTATTGTGGGATTGTTCAACAAAAGATAACTATATTTCTGATCTTGGTTGGATGCCATTTCACTGGTTTGACTCCCTTCTAATTTCATTAATTCCCCTTGTTTCAATTTTGCTGCTCAACTTTCGGACCAACAGAAACATTTTATTGAATGGCAGAGGGGACTGAGGCCCAGAACAGAGAAAGGAATTGCAGAGATCCAGAAATTGCAAATAAAA